TGGCCAAAGCCTTTTTTTTTTACCATGCTTCCTGTCTGGATCACAGGAGTGCATTTGCTTCTATACTCCTGTGACCCAGAGTTATATTAAAGTGGGCTATTGCCTGCTATTAACTAGCAGGGCAGAGCCGTGCCAGGCTCAGGAAGGATCCTGACAATACTGTCGGGTACAACCCTGTTGCTGGACAGCTGACTCTGCCTTTTAGTGCACAGCTGAGCCAGAGCCAGCCATGACTGATCCCTCCCCAACCTGGTGCTTCAAAGAGTGCAGAGTGGAGAGCAGTGACTGACAGTCGGTGCTCTCTGCTTGGAGTGACCAAGAACTGAGCAATCAGCGGTCACACGATTGCTCAGTTCTCATTGTTGGAGTTGGCATGGGACAGCTGCAGCATGGTGGGGAGTATGGTATTTGTTTTTTTTTCAAAAAGACCATAGTTCTACTTTAAATTAACAAAATATGAAAGGGCTCAATATCACAGTGCTTCACACATAGATGCCAAAACACACTTACATAGTGAAATAATTAAAAATATCTCAAAATATTGTGATATTGTTTATATATTTAGCATTTTCTAACTTTAGCCTTAGCATGGGAAAACCACAAACAAACTGAACATAGCAAAATTATACATTTAGAAATTGGGGAAAAAAACAAAACAAAAAAAAAAAAAGAGAATAGAACTCAAATGCCTTCAATATTTTGGCCTACATGCACATAATGGTTTAAAAACCTTCATCAGTTGGCTCCTCTTAACCTCTTCCATAGCATGTAGTGCAACCTACAGGAAATTTATGCCCTGTCATATACAAACCAAGCTATGTGCCACTTGCACGTTCACTCCTTTTAAATAACATACTACAATGTCACATAATACATCATTTTGGAGTTCCGGTATTTCTGGTATAGATTACTGGCAATGCAACAATATACAAAGTCATTTTAGACAACTGTGAGCTTTCAAACTTATGCAAACTGTTTGAAGATGGCCTTTTGTATGCCAACATGACTGCACTCCTGTGCATAAAAACAAATCCATAAAGGCGGTGTTGGAAGCATTTTGTGTGAATGAAAGTAGCTTGCCCGCCCTGACCTAATGAACCTACTGGAATCCTCTGAGATGAACCTAGAATTCCAACTGCTAACCAGGTCTTCTCATTCAACATCAGTATCTGATGCTCTTTTTGCTGGATGGGCACAATTTCATCTAGGGGACAGCCTTCCCAAAAGTGATTCTAAAAGGTTCTCACATACATATATATATATATATAATATATATATGTTTTTTCGGGTGTCCCCAGCCAGCGCTCTTCGCCCCCTACCCCCCATCAATGCTCACCATAGCAAACTGCTTGCTAAGGGGGCACTTGTGTGGGCATGCTCCCAAGCCGCCTCTGTGTCCATTAGACACACACACAGCGTGGCTCAGCCCCCGCTCCTGTTCCCTCCTCACTGGCTTTGACTGACAGCAGTGATAGTCAATGGCTGCATATGCCACAAAATCATTAGTCAACAAAAACACAATCCTCAAAACACACACAAACATATTTTTTTTTTTTTTTTTTTTTATAGCCAAAGTCCCTTTCATCTAGTGTTAAGTGCTCCTTTCTTTTATAAACAGTTCATCAGTGCAATCCTAATCTGTATGTGTTCTTCTTTGTGCTTTATGCAAACAAACTTGTGCTCCCCCCTGCACTCCCCTGACAATATTATTGACCCCGTGCCTTTCAGCATATGAGTTACAATCCCTTGTACATTTTACGCTCCTGAGTTTTGCCAGTAGTTATCCACCTCTCTACTCTCCTGCTGTTGTCCTCCAACTTATCCAACCGCAGTGGTAGATACGGTCCTCCTGGGGGCTTGACCCTCTCAAAAAACATAATGTGGCAACAAAAGGGGGAATATTTATTGGATAAAAGAAATTGCTATTACACTCACGAGTATAAAATTAAACTGTACTGCAAAACCTGGGATGGCAAAAACCACCAACTGCGTGCGACTCATATGTTGAAGGGCACTGGGTCAATAACAATCGGGTAAGTGTGGGAGTGCAGGAGGAGAACAAGTTCTTTTGCATGAAGCACAAAGGAGAAAACACACAGATTAGGATTACACTGGTAAATGGTTTATAAAAGGAAGGAGCACTTTATACTGGATAGATGGGACTTAGGCTAAAAATGTTTTTTTGGTTTTTTTTTTTTGAAGATTGTTTTTTAGTTGACTGATGTAGTGGCATATACATGTACAGTATATAAATTTTGTAGGAGAGGTGGAGACAGCACTGTGTATAAATACTCAGTATATGAGGATAACCTGGTATAGGTTAACGACGAACAGCAGCAGTCTTAAAACACACATAGGTCATTATATGAGTACTGTAAATATTAACAGTTACAGCAAAATTGTTTTAGGTTGTAACACTACGCACGTAACATACAGCTGTCACCCTCTGATCCACCTTCTCAGCCCTTTCCTATAGGAGGCATGCAATTTACATACGCTCCAAGACCTTGCAACAAGCCCAGCGGTTGAATGGGTTATTCTACCCTCACCCTAGTGCTACTCCAACCTTTTTCTTTTTAAAAATCCAAGCAAATAATCTACAGCTTTTGCTCCTAATAGTTACAGCTCTTTACAAATGAGCTATCCCAGATTTCCAGTCCCAAAGACAACTTTACCCCTAGCTTCCATTTCTGTCCTACCCACAATAGCTCATTGTGAAAGTAAGCACCGTCATCTCATGTTTTGTAAACCGGTCTCTTCCGACATCATTCAAAATTATCTGCAAGGAAACTACACCCAGTTCTACCTGTCTACACCTGTTCAGTTTCTCTGTGCCATAAAAATAAATTTCTAGCTGCTTCAGCAATCTTTCTTTATTATCGGAGAGGTATTTAAAACCTAACATAGAAAAAAAAAAAAGTTTCTGCCTTTATATTTTAATCTACTACCTGATGATGCTCTTAATGTACATAGTGCTCTCATTCAAACTCTGTCTCTACCTTGCTGCATTGGTACCATCACTAAACGCTGTACCTCCACTTGCCCAATATCCCACAAATACACTGCTAACCTAAAAGGATAAGTTCACCTTTTGGGAAAAATAAATAAATGCACATTTTTTGCAGGAAGAAAAAATGTGCATTTATTATTTTTCCCTAAAGAGCCCTAAGTGGATCAGAACTGCGATGTCAGATTCCTACAGACAAGCCCAGCAGCTTTCAGCCCATACTTTCATGCAGGCTGACTGTTTACAAGCTGCAGGGCTTGTAAATGAACTACGAAGCTGCTCATCAGCGACCTCGCAGTCTATTCAGAACTATAAGCCATCAGCCGCAATAGATGATGGTAGTTGTAGTTCATTCATCCACAGGAAACTGAATGCATGATGTGGCCATGTGGGGGAGCCCTGCATGGCCGAATTATGTTCAAATTGTAAAAGCAGATGGGGGATCTTCTCCCCATGCCTACAGTCACAATTTGAGAATAATGTGGCCGTGTGGGTCTCCACCTAGATGGTCACGTCATTCATTCAGAGTTTTCAGTCACTGGGGGGAAAGGGGAGGGGGATGGGGAGAGGCTGCAGCTGCTGCAACATGTTCATACGGGTGGGGTAATATATTCCAAAATGTGGACTTATCTCTTAAGACCTCCCTACTAGGTTTTCACCAACATGTCTTTCATCTCTAGATTTTCTCTTAAAGAATACCGCAACACTCGTCTATTCCTTACAATAATAGCCTATAGCACTTGTTGTCCTCCCGCTTTTTAGGTTGGAAATTTGCTTAGGCCTCATTTAAACTGCTGCTCCTAAAAATGGGAGTTTAAGAGCTTTGTGCATTTTTTTGCCAAAGCCCCTAAACGTAACTCAATAAAAAAGCCTATGTGAACATGTACACAGAGGCTTTTAGCAAAGTTTAGGGGCAGTTAAACGTCCCTCTCCTGAATGCAGAAGAATTGTGTTCAGGAGAGGTTATTGTGGCCAAAAACCGCATTTAGGCGTTTATTCAGGTCAATGTAAAATACTCTGGCCAAATCAAACGAATAAACGCACCGCGTTTACACCACATTTAGCTTTTTCTGCTGCCAAGAGAGCTAAATGTCTAGGAGCGTTCATGTGTACATGAGGCCTTAAACAGTGACTTTATGTATCCACTTTGCTTGAATATTGTAATCTGCACCCCTAGGTTAGCTTTTGTAAAGCATTGTGCAAAATATTAGTGCTTTATAAAAAATAAGAAACAAGTATTAACAGTAAAAAAAATCTTATTTCTGAAAATTTATCTGAAAAATCTCATACTTTAAATATCAATATATAGTTGAATTTTCCAAGGCCCAATAAGAGGACATTTCACTATTAAGAACATGCTTCTCCATCTGCAGCAATCCACATTTTATGTTAATGTTGACCTTCTGTGGTTTGAGCTTACAATAGAGAAGCTAAAAAAGTAAAAGTAGATTCACAAACTGCATACCTTTGTTTTGAAGCCACACCGACAAGATATATTAGATGTGCGAGTACAGGGGCCACATTCTCCTTCATGACAGAGGTTCTCACATATGTGAATGAAATCTAGTCAATGCAAAATAAAACTAATATTTTTTCTCTGCAGGAACAGCTTAAGAAAGTAATCAAAGTACAAACATAGTTAAAAGTTCTCCATACATGCAAACACAAAAGCCTCACCAGTTCAGACCTGTGTGGGTGGGAAAGAACACCAATATACATTTTTGAAATATTAATTTAAAATGTATAGCCAAGAGCTGTGTACAGTTCCTGCTTGGTGTGCTGTATGAATTTGAGACCTCTGCAACTTCTCTGGAGCATTGGTTTTCATTGCAGGCCTTTCTGTCATGGAACCACTAGCATGCAGTACTTATATACATTTAGCCTTTCGTTACAAAATGTAATATAAAAACTATGTACTAGGAATAGTAACTTTGGATGTACTGTATATAACATGAAATCTGGCTCTACTTACCATGAGAACCACAAGGAAGGGGCTTGCCACAGGTCTTCCCACAAGATGGTATGGGATCTGTGCACGTTTTTTTCGGTCCACACAACCCAGCTCCAGCAATTTGCTTAAAGGAGTTTGCCCACACGGACAGAAACGCACTATCTGGGGAAGTCGGGGACAAGGCTGGCAAGGCTGCGGGTGGCATACTTCATTACATCCATGTTTACCACAATTTAGTTTCCTTGAATGAACAAATATAAAGAAAAAAAAATACAATATACATTTAGGCAGCACTGGCAAACAAAATAAGAGCTCACATAAATGGGCTACAGCGTAAAGAGTTGTTCAGGTGTCCAAAGCAGCATGCAGGCAGTCTGGGTTATTCAATGAGGATACATCTGTACAGACATTATGCGTCTGGGGCTGTGCACCCGTTTCTGCACATCGGCCAGACATGGATGTGCAGGTGAGTTCATATAGCTAAATAAAATAAAAGTGCAGCGCTAGAAATGAAATAAATGTGACACAATAAAAGTGATCAAAGAAAGTCCCAACTGCGGTGACCTAGGGTAACAATGCACACTAACCAGAAGTGCACATTAATAGTGCAGTGTAGGAAGGATGGAGTTCATAAAGTAGTCATCAGCATGGGAAGGGTAGATGTATTCCCTTGGTCAATGAAGGTCCACATGATGGTACAGAGCTGGGCAGAAGAAATCCACTAGTTAGATGGCAGGAGTGGGGAGCAAATGATGCACAGTGGAGGAGCAGTACTTTTTTGGTCCACTGCAAAAAAGCCCTGCTCTACCTCCGTTGTGCACCTTCCCATGGATGACTCTGGGATTAAAAGTGTGCATTGTTACCCTCACCGCAGTTGGGACTTTCTTTGCTCACTTTTATTGTGTACATATATTTAATTTTAGCGTGCACTTTTATTTTATTTTCATGTGAGGATTTTTTTGGTTATCCTTGAGCTGGAAGTGAAAGAGTAAGCTCTGTTTTAAAAGCTGGTCTGACTATTCAGGCTACCTACCTGCAGGCTACTGGATGCATAAAAAAAATAGCACTTGAAGTAGAACTTCACACTAAAAATTCTGCTATTTTTTTTGCAATTTTTTGGGGGGGATTGGGGAACGGGGGCATAGCAGGTACCTGGTTTTCACCCCTGGACAGGTCAATATTTGTAGCTGCTTTCTTTTAATTTTTAAAAATTTTTTCCAACAGGGCAAAGAACCTCTTCCAAGTGACCTTGTTATTCATTTTGCTATCGCATCTATCAGTTTCTATACATTAAGCTGTCAAAAGATGCATCACTCCCACTCTCATAGCACAGCTCTCAAGCAGTTCCTGGATAGCAGAAACTATATAGATAGGCAGGAAAACTACAAAGAAATAGAGACTTAATGCTCAGGCACGCTCTGCAAATATGAAGTTAAAGTCTTTTTGAAAACAATGACATCATGCTGCCTTCCATGACACTTGAATTTTTTTTTTCTATTCACAGATGATTCACAGTCATAGCATTGCATAGCAATAGTGATAGTGAGCTATCAGACAAAAGAAAAAAAAAAATGTAATAATTACAGCCTATCTGTAAATGAAGGATTTTATCATTGCAGCTAGAAAGACTCATTTGATGGGATTCCAACAGGAATAGCAAGTGTGACTATAAGGCGTGCTAAAATAGCCTCCCTTGCAATATTACATAATTAAAATAAATAAGCAAATAAAAAATGTATATTTTAAATTTAATAAATAAGTGTAAGCAAAATGCAAAAAAACTTAGTGATTTCAGAGCATTTCTGATTCACCAGCAGATTTACCTTTTCCCCCAGTGAAGTTGTTTTCTGAAATCTAGGAAAGGGACTTGACAGCTCTTTCCAAGGAAACAACTCATCTGCTTTTTTTGTGACAGAATTCTAAAAATATACCTGGGTCTAAAAGAAAAACTAACAGCTACTGTATGACAGTTGAAACAAGTACTCAATTCAGTTACTATTTGATAAACAAGCCTCCTAAAATATATATAAAAAAAAAAAAAAAAAAAACCCTCTTTACCATGACATGACAGCCATTTTTGGCTAGAAAATTACTTAAAACCCCAAAAAGTATTTTCTAAAAGCAGAGGCCCTATATAGTAAACATTGGAAGTTGCAATATAAAAGTGGAAGTTTTATGGAAGTTTTATCAAGTATCTGAATATTAAATTTGCCAAGACTCAAAAGTGTGTGCAGCTGCAAAACAGATAAAAAATGCTAGTATTTTTTTTTTTTTTTTTAACAGGAACCTGCTCCCACTTTCTCAATTCATGCCTAAGAAAGAATGACATTCACTTGGGTATTTGTTGCTGTGGACGTATTTTTGTTTTTCCCATACAGAGGTCTTTAAATGGCCATTTTTTTAACTGAAAAGAGGTGTCAGATGTTTGAATACCAGTCACAGTTATATACTAGAGGAGAGAAAATACAGGGGTTGAAATGCACCCAATACTGCCATTACAGTGGTAGTAAACTCGTTTTTTAATTTTATCTACAGGTAAGCTTACTTGTAGGTAAAAATTAACATCTCCTAAACGTGCACTGTTTAGGAGAGATTCTCTTTCATAAAGCCGGTGCATGTGCTCTGAAGGATCGGCAAACCCATGCCATTCCTTCAGAGCTGTGTGAGTGAAGTCACCGTGGTCCCACCTGTCAGAAGGCCAGAGATGGCGAACTCGGAAGAAGGACCGGGTGAACATGGAAGCCTCTGTAGCGGTGACAGCTCTCCGGTGGAGGGCTTCGTTTTAAAAGGTAAGTTTTACATAAAGTGCTAGTATGTGATGCATACTAGCACATTATGGAATTACCTTGCAGGGGACTTTTTTTTTTTTTTTTTCTTCCTTTCTTGCAGTTTACTACTGTTTTAATACTTTCCATTTATTATATTACAGTATTTAACAGCACATAGATATGCAGTACAAATGCATAATATTCTGACAGTAACTTGCTTGATTCTCTCATTTCCATGCCTCTCACAGTGTTTAATATAAACAATCAGGAAGTGGCCCCTATCCGTCTAGCTTACTTGCCACAGAGCTTCTGACAGGAGAAGTTTCCAAAGCCATCATAGTTATCCTTGTCTGTTCCACAGGACACATCTCTTGAGCTTCCACCACAGTAGCAAGCTGGAAGACATTAAAAAAGAAAATAGATTTTGCTGGAAAACTCAAATCCAACAACAACTGGAAAGATGAAAGTTAATTTTTTATATTGCCACACAGTAAGGGAAATAGCTGGAAAAAAGACTCGGAGATACTTTTATAAAGCACTGAATGTGCCATTCACTGTGGGTGAATATTTCTGGTGTATGCATTTTAAATTATCAATTCACTTGCAGCGAATGTTTCATGAACATCAAATTCACTTCTTTTACAGCTACTCATGTTATGTTGTAAATGAACACAAGTACCATTTATTGAAGCTAGCAAATGTGTGCAACACACAATGCAGTACATGGATATACAGTTGTGTTCAAAATAATAGCAGTGTGTTGAAAAAAGTGAATAAAGCTGAAAATCCTTCTAATAGCTTTTATTTCCATATACACAAATGCATTGGGAACACTACACGTTCTATTCCAAATCAAAACATGAAGAAAAATAGATCAAATTTGTGTTGTTCCTCTAAAAAAAAATTGAAGAAAAGTGAATATTAGACTGTTCAAAAAAATAGCAGTGTTTGTATTCTTCTTTACAAACTCAAACATTCACTATATAAACTGAAAAATGTTTGAAGATTTTGCTTTCCTTTGAATCACTTAATGAATATTTGGTTGTAGTCGCACTGTTTCTGAGAACTGCTGTACATCTGTGTTGCATGGAGTCACCCAACTTCTGGCACCTGTGATCAGGTATTCCAGCCCAGGATGATTGGACTACATTCCACAGTTCTTCTCTATTTCTTGGTTTTGCCTCAGAAACGGCATTTTTGATGTCACCCCACAAGTTTTCTATTGGATTAAGATCCGGGGATTGGGCTGGCCACTCCATATCGTCAATCTTGTTGGTCTGGAACCAAGATGTTGCACGTTTACTGGTGTGTTTGGGGTCGTTGTCTGTTGGAACACCCATTTCAAGGGCATTTCCTCTTCAGCATAAGGCAGCATGGCCTCTTCAAGTATTCTGATGTATTCAAACTGATCCATGATCCCTGGTATGCGATAAATAGGCCCAACACCGTAGTATGAGAAACATCCCCATATCATGATGCTTGCACCACCATGCTTCACTGTGTACTGTGGCTTGAATTCAGTGTTTGGGGGTCGTCTGACAAACTGTCTCCACCCACTAGACCCAAAAAGAACAATCTTACTTTCATCCGTCCACAAAATGTTGCGCCATTTCTCTTTAGGCCAGTCAATGTGCTCTTTGGCAAATTGTAACCTCTTCAGCACATCTTTTTTTCAACAGTGAGACTTTGCGGGGGCTTCTTGCAGATAGCTTGGCTTCACGTAGGCGTCTTCTAATTGTAACAGTACTCACAGGTAACTTTACACCTTCTTTGATCTTCCTGGAGCTGATTGTTGGCTGAGTCCTTGCCATTTTGGCTATTCTTCTATCCATTCGAATGGTAGTTTTTCGCTTTCTTCCACGTCTTTCAGGTTTTGGTTGCCATTTTAAAGCATTTGTGATCATTTTAGCTGAGCAGCCTATCATTTTCTGTACTTCTTTATATGTTTTCCCCTCTCCAATCAACGTTTTATTCAAGGTACGCTGTTCTTCTGAACAATGTCTGCAACGACCCATTTTCCTCCGAATTTCAGAGAGAAATGCACTGTAACCAGCATGTACAACATTTGCTGCCTTCCTTCCTTAAATAAGGGCAATAATTGCCACCTGTTTTTCAAAGAATGAATGACCTCACTAATAGAACTCCACACTGCTAATATTTTGAACATGCCCCTGTCAATTAGTGATTCAATTACACAGAATCAGCAGCATGCATGTCATGACTGTTGGGTCTGTTGAATTTCTATTACTCTACTACACCTGCTAGGAAATTATTTGCGATGTAGAAATACCATTTCTACCAAAAACAGTGATTGATCAGGTTAGTGATGTCTGACTGCTATTATTTTGAACACAACTGTATGGATACATATGGATTGTGGTGGCTTGCAGCACTTCAAATACAGAGCAATACACGTAGTATACAGTGCAGATTATGGAGCACAGCATTCAGGCTTGATAGTCCTTGGTGTGCAATCTGCATCAGTGAGTAGTGTGGTAGAGCTGAGAATACAACTTGCAGTGCAGAGTTTGAAATTTGACAATCCAGAGTGTGGCACTTCAGACTAGTGCAAAAGGTCAGATTATGCAACATATGGCACATATATCAGCAGTGGCAGGCCACAGCGTGTAACAAATCAGTGAAATACATGTGTGGCGGTCCAGAGTATGTAATGTACTATATATAGTATATGTAGTATATGGCGTTTTTTTCTTCTGTAAAAAAAAAAAAGAAACCGAACTGCTAAGTACATCAAAGGCACACAGAAGAAAAACATAAAAAATACCAAAAAATCTTCCTGGTGCCAAATCTCAATGATACAGAAGAAAAAGAAGAAACCAAACTGCTAGGTACGGCAAAGGCATTGGATTCTTTGGGCACAGTAAGAGACCACACAGTAAAATACATATAACCATTTATTGACATAAAGAGTCATATATTCATGATAGGACCCATAGTACAGACATACCCCTCAAAAGGAGGGAACAAGCACAAAAAAAAAAAAAACATAAATGTCGTAGTTGTAAACACAATGCCCCCATCATGTATATAGAAAAAAAAAAAAAAATACCACTAAGCACATAGTAACAACATACATCAAAATACGGTCAACGCATTTCGCCTGTGCACTTGGCTTTTTCAAGACCATAGCTTGAACATGAGGGAGAATAGTGCTACTGCATGTATAAAGAAAATACAAAATGAATGTACAAACAAACACACAAATATACATAAGTACAACAAGATACATGTGTAAAATCAAGCTGAGCTTACGTGGAGAGGATGGATGAGCGGCACAGAAGTCTGGAGGGCGGACATAGGGGACCAGAGCTTGAAGCGAACCAATCAAAATCTCAAGCCACCACCACTCCACAAAGGGACCGAAAGCCAGCCAATAATGGGACCAAATTCCCGGGAGGTACTTTTTTGGAGTATTGTTTTTAGTTCCCCTCATGTGGGATGTGTCAGCGCTATCCCTATACCGGCTTTTTATAAGTTATTATCCTTCCTATAGGGGACGCCTAGGAAGATTTGGGTGCAGGCCTGCTGCTTTGTCGTATACGGATACCATATTTTGGTAGAGTACTTTAATATATACGGATTTTGCTCTCCCTTTTCCCCCCCCCATTTGTTTGAGACCAGTTACTCACTATTGTTTGGTATTCTAGGTAATACATCTTGATTGACTAAGATCATCGGCCAATCACTTCACCACTTCATTTGCCTTTTCCAGTATATGGGTATACCTGGGACCCCGGTTGGACTGGGATAGTGAATGTTACTAGGGTACTCTTGCTGTAGGTGGGTTATATTCTTGATCCCGCTTGATATGGCAAGTACACCAATTTTGATTACTCAATCTCATTAAAAGTATGGCTATTTTGCAGGCCCACCAATGTCTTAGTCATCTGTATTCCTCTCCATGTTTTTGTGGATATAAGGTTGTTTTGTCCCTGCTGGAAGTAGACAGACAATCTATAGAATTACTGTGAGTACTGGCTAACTCAAGCCATATTGGCTTTTATTCATGTAACTCTGGGATACCCTTGTCATTCGGTCGTACAGTTTTATATACTTTCTATTATAGGATTTCTTTATACTACAACTGGCTTTTGAGTTTTTGATTGGCTCGCTTCAAGCTCTGGTCCCCTATGTCCGCCCTCCAGACTTCTATGCTGCTCATCCGTCCTCTCCACGTAAGCTCAGCTTAATTTTACACATATGTATTTGTTGATCTTATGTATATTTGTGTGTTTCTTTGTACATTCATTTTGTATTTTCGTTATACATGCAGTAGCACTATTCTCCCTCATATTCAAGCTACGGTCCTGAAGAAGCCAAGTGCACAGGTGAAATGCGTTGACCATATATTGATTTATGCATATTGTTACTGTTATGTGCTTAGTGGTGTTTTTTTTTTATATACATGAGGGGGGTATTGTGCTTGCAACTACGACTTTTTTTTTTTGCTCTTGTTCTTTTGAGGGGCATGTCTGTACTATGGGTCCTATCATGAATATATGACTCTTATGTCAATACATGGTTATATGTATTTTACTGTGTAGTCTCTTGCTGTGCCCAAAGAATCCAATGCCTTTGCCGTACCTAGGAGTTTGGTTTCTTTTTCTTCTTGTCATTAGGATTTGGCATCAGGAAGCTTTTTTGGTATTTTTTGTGTTTTTCTTCTGTGTGCACAACTTATCTATCTCAACTCGACCTCAAGCAAGAGAAAGAAAAAAACATTTTATTTCCCTGGATAGTATACAAGTCGATTCTACATGAATTCTCTTTTGTACCCACATTTTTGCAGTAGATAATGGCTGCTGTGGCTTATGTCTATGTTTTTTTCTGCTAGCAATTATCCTGTGTATAATCATGCCAAGTCAACCTGTTTCTTTGTCCTTTGCATAACATTCAAAATGCTTCCCTGGTGGATAGAATTTGACAGCATTGTTCTGTCTCCCAAAATGGCTTATTGCACACAATGTGGTTTGACAGAGGAAGTCAGCAGCAGCTGTTAGTCCACTGTGGGGTTTATTTACTAAAGCTGGAGAGTGCAATATCAGGCTCACTTCTGCATAGAAACCAATCAGCTTCAAGGTTTTATTGCCAAAGCTTGACTGAACAAGTGGAGGTTAGAAGCAGATTGGCTACCATGAACAGATGCACCAGATTCTGAGCGCTCCAGTTTTAGTAAATCTCCCCCTTTATGTGCTAGTTTCTGGGCTTGTTCATAAAGCAGAGTGAGATGGAGCTACATGGCATCAAGATGCCACTGTACCAGGAGAAAGAAATCTACTGACTAAAGAGTTGGATTTGAATTAAAGGACAAGTTCATCTTTTCACAAAAAATTAAAAGGTGAACTAACTCCAAATATATTGGTCAGCCCACTGCACATAGCAGCCATGATGCTTTATGCTGCTGATATAGCAGTCTGTACACCACAATACAGAGCCCAAGAGTTAGTGCCCATCTTAATGCTCATAATGGTAAGCGCTCATTGGTGCCCCATGACCATACTAACCAATGAGTAGCACATCTGAGGCTTCTACATTCCCATAAGATGGCCTACAAGAAAGAAACGATTCTCACTGGTCACATGGATGAACCAATCAATGAGCACTTGCCTTTGCAAGGATTGACCGACACTCTGGAGCTGTGTATTGCGGGCCACTGAACTGGTGGCACGGGGCATCATGGTCACTATGTTCAGTGGGGTCTGCAGGGTTTTGGTTAGTTCACCTTTTCACATTTTGTAAAAAGGTGAACTTACCCTTAAAATATCAACTTCTTGTAATCCCCCATACAGCAACACCAAAAATGGGAAAGAAAGGCGAGCACTCTAAACCAAATCAAGTTCACTAAATGCAAATACACTGACAAGTAACATTCTGATAGGAGGGGAGAGCAGAAAGAGCAGAGAAGTACTCTCATATGCATTTCATTTATTTTTTTTTGGTTTTTTTTTAATTTGAGCTTTGCTTAGACTTCAGCTTTAAATAAGTTCATCTCTCCAGAAAAACTAATAAATGCACATATTTTTGCAGAAAAAAAGTGCCTTTATTTTTTCCTGCAGGAGTCTGGAAAGCATTGCACCCAGGATCAGTGGATCAGTTGTGTAATGTCAGGCTACTGCAGGCAAGCTCTGAGCTGTTTGAAAGCTTGCGAGTGAACTACCAGAGAGCTCACTAGCACCCTTGCAGTTCATTCAGAACTATCAGCCGCAGTGGAAGAGAGTACTTGTAGTAAATTCACAGGGAAACAGTGAAACTCCACAAGGGCGCGATCCTTTCAAAAAGTGACAGCAGTTGCGGAGAGAAGATGCCCCACCTGCTATCACACTGAGGGGGGATTGGAGGAACTTGCTGCAGGAGCCTCAAACCCACCTTAAACATGGAAGGGGGCAGGGGGGTGACATATAACATGTTCCAAAAGGTGAACTTGGCTTTTAAAGCTACCCATAGAAAATTATTGTTGTAACACATAAGAAAACAAATTTGACTGACCAAATAATGTCTCACCTAACCGATAGGGGCATAAACAAAACAGTGAGAAGGTCTATATATACACAGCACAGACCACAGGCAACTCATTTTTATTATCGTGGGGTTAAATAAAAGGCTTTTAACTAAACAGAGCCAACAAGGTCAACAGCACATTTTTCAAAAGGGGAGTCTGTTTGCTGAAGTCTGGATGGAACAAGGACATCAAATTAATCTCCTGACCAGACAGATAGTATCCAAATTGGGCACAGATTATGTAATTCTTATGCATTTGAATATTTAAGTCAAAACACAGCATATTCAGTGGGGTGGTCTTTAATAGTTGGAATTTAAATGGTCAAAGTCTAAGAAGACACAGATTTGCATATAAATAACAAAGGGATAAAAGAAAATCCTTTGTATGAAGTAGATTCTTACGCGTGTTAAAAAATTGACACAATAATGACTATTAAAAAAAAATTACATGCTTTTAAATGTTCTGTTGCCATAGAAACTCCTTTATTAGAAATATATGAAATGGTTACATTATGCAAAAAAATTAAAACAATTAACTTTTATTTGATGGTACTCAAAGAAATAACACATGGTAGTATGTGATTTCAGTCATTACAAGATAATAGCAGAATCAAATCCCTCACTCTGTCCATGTTGTTTCTATTGGTATTTCTTTGTTAATGGAAAAATATAAAAGGGATTTCAGAAAAGCAGCCTAAGGCTCTTACCTTGATGTATAATTTGCTGGCATGGCTGGCATTTCCCAGCATGGCACACCTGATTGCAGTTGTGCTCCCCACAGTTCAACGGATTTCCACACACATTTGCACAGTGCAAGGTTGAAGACTGCCCACAGCGAACGGACTGGCTGCAAGGAGGACACACGGTTATTAGAAGAGCTGCTGTTAGTTGAGAAAAAAAAAAATTAGAATTAGAAATACTTCCACAAAAGGGTACACAAAGCACACCAAAAAAATTGAATGGGTTACTGAATTTTATATAATAATTATGCATCTTGAACCCTTAGTTGCCTTAGAATACGACAAAATTAGAGAGATATACTTTTACTTGGGTAACATGGACAATCTTTCGACTTTCTCAAGCGTTCTGAAACTCACTGGCTAATTGATGTAATTGGTGATATTTGATGATTGATTGGTGAATTGGTACGATTAACTCGGTTATCCTATTATTCTGACTACTCAGGGGTACAATCTGGTCCTGTTCTCATTTGGTATCTGAAGGAAATGCTTTTCTGTCCATTCCGTGAGATAAGTTTATAGCCCAAAGTCAATGTTCGTCTGTATAGCCAACATGTTGTCATGCTTCTGTTATGTGACTGTAGTTTGTATGACCTTGTTGAACTTATGTTTTTTTTTTTTTTTTATACCATTAAAACAAAATAAAATATGATTTAGAAAAAAAAAAAAAAAAAAACAAAAAAAAAAACGACAATAGCAAGGTCTGTTCATTTCAAAACACATAAAAAAAAAATTAAAAAAGAAAAGAAAGAAAAAGGACAGGACAAACACCCACAAAATAACCACAATTTGGAGAATAAACACTCCAAGGCAATTTTAAAAGGCATGGCGAGTCTTTTGAAGACTTAATTTTGCCATAAGGTCTTAGAAAATGCAGAATGAAAATGAAATGATCAATTTAATAAGATATTTTTCACATACAGCATTGGCATACTTAGAATTTCACACCAAAACAAACTCTGCTATACCTCCCAAGTATTGCAATACCATGTGTGAGACATTTTCAATATTTGTACCGTTTATGTAGCGGACACTGTATCTTGTGTATCAATTAACCAATTGTATCAAAACCAGTTTATTACAATGGTTGCCTCTTCACAGGTGGTTAGGGAATATGGTTTTGTGTTGCGTCATCTATAGTAGTCCCTATTGCTATAAGCCAAGCAAGCCTAGCCTACTGGTATGACACAAACTACTTCCCAAAATGGGATCATTGGGGGGGGGGGGGGGGGGTGTTTGCACTATCCTGGCATTTCAAGGTCTCTGAAAACAGTGATAAGAGTGAAGAAGTGAAATACGCCCTTTGAAAGTGCTCGTTCACATACACTAAAGGAGAACAAAAAAAGTTCCTGTGGTTTCAGGAGTGCAGTTGTCCACATGGGATGGCTGGGACTGGTGTCTCACAGGAACACAGTCAGTGGCTTTACAATCAATCACATTAAGTTACTATTCTTATACAGGCCATAGATGGGGAGAAAACTGGCCGATTTGTCTTTAAAAAAACAAAAAAATCGGTCGTTCAAGCATCCGACATTACCAGGAACGGTAAAAAAAAAAAATTGTCCGATTTTCATCCCGTCTACAGCCGGCAAAAAGTGTCCCTGCGGAGAGCTCCGCTATTTCTTTGACAGTTCCTTGACATTTATAGCGGTTGCAACAATGTATCTATTTGTATCCATTTAGGATACAGATGTTTTTATTCAGAAACAAATAGATACATTGTTGCAACCGCTATAAATGTCAAGGAACTGTCAAAGAAATAGCGGAGCTCTCCGCAGGGACACTTTTTGCCGGACTGGAATTCCTCTTCTTCCTCTTCATCTTCATCCTCCTCCTCCTCTTCTTCATCATCCTCCTCCTCCTCTTCTCTCTTCATCCTCCTCTTCTTCATCCTCCTCCTCCTCTTCTTCATCCTCCTCTCCTCCTCTTCTTCATCTTCATCCTCTTCTTCATCTTCATCTTCTCCTCTTCTTCATCTTCATCCTCTTCTTCATCTTCATCCTCTCTTCTTCTTCTTCATCCTCTTCTTCATCTTCATCCTCTTCTTCATCTTCATCCTCTTCTTCATCTTCATCCTCTTCTTCTTCTTCATCATCATCATCCTCTTCTTCTTCATCTTATTTTTGTCTTCCTCTTGCAGGTCACTGCTCATGCGCAGATTTTTTTTATCGGTAAAAAGATCGGCCGATTTGCCCATAATTGCCGCGAAAATCGGCCGATTTTTTTCCAACTTTACCGATAAAAAAAATCTGCCAAAATACCGAAAAATGGCCGAACAATTAGCCCACTAACGATCCGAAAATTGGCCGATTTTATTTTCGGCCGAAAAATTGGCCGATTTTCGACCCATCTATGGCCTGCATTAATAGATGCTGACTGAGAAAATTCAGTGTCCTAGATTCTGGCAATGCCCATTTGAATGTACAGTGTCAGAAATAAGCTGTGATTGCCTGGGGTGTTCCCAGTCTTCATAGAGGAATAGTTTAAGTACTGAGTGTATGGGGATGATCTTTGCGGCAGCACAGGCTCCAAAAGACCCCATAACTGGCACAAGGTAATCCCCTAGATGTATAATATAGCACAGTGCTTTAAATCAGAATGAAAACTGTATATCTGAATTATAGGAAACTTGCTCTAATACAGTTTCACAGGCAAACGCTCCGATTCTGAATCAGAGATGGTGACAAGGAGCCTTAGGCACTATGAGAGATAAAAGCCCACTATGGCCAAAAGGTAGGCTCTTCTTAGACTTTTCAAAGAAAAAAGTACAAGTTACTAGTAAACTATGCTCAAAGAAAGACAAGGCCCCACAAACTTACAAATCCACGCAACTGGTACTAAAGAGGGTCATAGGTGGCCAAGTCACTATACGTGGCCAGTGGAACAATATTGGAAACTGGATGAATCAACCTGCGCAGAAAAGCTGCAGTAGAAGCGATGAAAGGTGCTTCCTTAGATTAATTGCGTCCAATGGTCAAAACGTTGAAGTGGCTATCTGTACTGAATCCTAACCAGCCATACTAAAACTTTGAGAGACTGTCATGCCTAAAAATAATTTCTCTAATTTCCTCTAGAACTGGAAAGCACTCCGCAAGGTTACTAATAGAGTACCTGAAGGACAGAGAATAGCCTACTGACCAAAGTCACATGTCAGGATATAAGAATCACAAATACAGACTCACTCAGAGTGAGATTGCAGAGACTGGGTCACAACAGAAGCTGTGCCACAGCTCTGGTCCTGGAGAACCCTTTGCAGCTAATCAACAGTACAAAAGGTCTGGAAAAAGCCACAAAAGGAGAGCGGTGTCTGAAGATGACATACCTGGTGATCTTTGCCACTTCCAGAGGCCTATTCATACAGGGACTCACCAGAGACTGTACCACGGGATGCACTCTGTGCCTTACTGACACTGTACACACCGGTCTGAAAAATGCCACAAAGCCCAGTGCTCAAATTCCAGGTCATCCCTGCCCAATCCATAGGCTTACTCAGAGTGAGCCCCAGAGATTGGGTCTCAGCAGGAGGCTGTTCCACAGCTCAGACAAAAATGTAAAATAATCTTGTGGAAAATAAAGGCTAGTAAAATGGGTAAACCGTATTCAGCAGCAAAAACATCTGTCCTAGGACCCCAGCAAAAAATGTAAGCATATTAGGATTGGGAAGGTCTATACCTGGGTAGTCAACTATTTTTTTTTTTCTGCTTGTGTCCAAAAAAAGAAATAGATAGATCTCTGCAGCTTACACACATATAAATGTGTGCAAACTAAACCCCTTATTTTAACGTGAATTGTTAGACAAAGTAATTTGGTTTGTTGCAGGCTGGTAAGTAAGCTGGGAATTCTTGTTTGTTTTTTTGACATACGTGGCCTTTCCATGAGCTCCTTATTGCAAAGACCAGTTATAGGTTGGGGTGGCTGCCATTTGTTCATTATAGATCTCTCAATACCACGTTTGAACACAATCATTTCTCTAATGAACACAATGGGGCCAACTGTTGAGAACTTGAAAGAAAAAGTTAACATAACATAATAAGCTTTTTACAATTCAAATACACTTCACATGTATCAAGGTTTGTTCACAGAATTGACAACACAAATGTTAATTACATTTCCATATTACTCATTACACTGTCATATGTCATTGCCAGGATGCCAAGAGAAACAAATGCACATACACTCCATATGGTCATTAAGTTGGAGGAGTGCAGCTGAAATTACTATGAAAACATATTTGACATGATGCTGAATTAAAGCAGTACAGCTCAACTGATGTTATTGCAATGGTGAAAAACGATTTGTTTCATTAATTACCTCCAATGGAGGGAGCAGGAAGCAAATAAAGCAGCCTCTTTTGGCATTATTAGTAGACAACAGTTGTCTCAGATGCTACAGCTATGTTGCTAATCCATGTGGTCAAATCAAGAAAACAGTATAGATCAGTAATTATCATCAAGTGATAGGCATTTCTATTTGATCTGTGTAGCACAAATAAAAATCAATAACAGACTTCATGGGGTTTATTTACTAAAGCTGGAGAGTCCAAAATCAGACTCCCTTCTGCATAGAAACCAATCAGCTTCCAGGTTTCATTGCCAAAGCTTCATTGAACAAGCTGAGGTTAGAAGCTGATCGGTTTCTATGCAGAAGGGAGTCTGATTTTGGACTCTCCAGCTTTAGTAAATAAACCCCCATGTGTCAAGCTACCAAGTAAAACCTTAAAGCGGAGCTCCGCCCAAAAGGGGAAGTTCCGCTTTAATGCTTTGTCCACCGCTCTCCATTAAGGATTGGCACCTTTGGGGAGCGGGTACCCAAATTTGACAGGTACCCACTTTTACTTCGATCACCTAGTCGATCGGAAGCCAAAGTTGTCCTCCCCCCACCCCCCCCCCCCCCCCCCCCCCTCCCCATAGTCTTCTGGTACACGTGACAGGTCCCAGAAAACTACAAGGTCATTCACAAAAGCGCAGCGCTTCTTGTGCATGCGCAGTAGGCACCCGGCTGTGAAGCCGCAAGCTGTCAGAGCCGGGTGCCGACACTAAAGAGGTCAGCACCAAGGAGAGAAGACAGCTGGTGAAACCAGCAGTGGTGAGGACACCTGCGCTGGACCGAGGGACAGGTAAGTGACTGTATTTTAAAAGTCAGCAGCTACAGTTTTTGTAGCTGCTGACTTTTTTTTTTCAGCTGGAACTCCGCTTTAATAAACTCAAAGTACCAACAACCAATTTGTGAGATATACAATCACTTTCCAGCAAGAAGAATTGATTTTATTGTGCTTTAACACACAGGTACTCAACTTTCTGAGAAGGGAAGAAGAGACATTTTCTAGCACAAAATATTTGGGCAAAGAATTCTTGCCACATCCTGCATTATGTGGGCCATATCAAATGAATGCAGAATGCACAAAAAAAAAAAAAAAAAAATTTTTTAAATCGATAAACTAGACTCAAGTTCATAAAATGTAGTATTTTGCAGCCACTAGAAGTGGTGGTTGCATTCATTTTCGGTTTTCAGGCTAAGCAAATTTTCAACAAGTACAAAAAAGTACCTGTTGAACTTGCCAGAAATGGTGTCCATTCCACTTCCTCAGATATGAAAGCACAACCAACTTAATTTTTCCTTTGTAAATGACCAATCCCATCAGCCCTCAGGTATTGGAAGGACTGTAAAACAAAGCTAGCCTGTGTGGGAACCAGAGCTTCTACTATAGGTACAATAGATGAATAAATGTAGTATCCTAGGGCAGAAAGCATGTTATCTGCTAGATTACCAGGTGAACATAAAGAGAAAAACATGAAGAAAAAGAATAAACTAATTAGCCACTACATCTTGGGTCTGAAAATTTAAATTAATACATTTTTGTTTTCGGGATTAGATATGCTTTATTGTGTATCTAAACCAATTTATTTTTTTTCAAAGCTTTGAATAGTCAGATTTTCATTGCTATGTTTCCGCATGGGAGCGATTGAGTCTCTTGAACCATTGTTACCAGGACTGATAGTATGGGAAAATTCAACATTTTGTGTTGACAGTAGGTTAGGAAAAGAAGGGAAATCTTCCAGTTTGGAGAGCAACCGCCGCCCCCCCCCCCATAATAAGACAGGGAAGATGAAATTTTCCTAGTGTTTAAAAATTTTTTGTAATAAAATAAAAACACTTTCTGCATTTAAAAAGTACAAAGTTTTTTTTCAGGTTTAAAATATCAGATCTAAAAAATGACATTTAAAGCAGAAACAGGGACAAAAATATTGTTTACAAATAAGGGACAGTTGGGAGCTTCGCGCACATCACCAAAGTCCCTGGTATACTTCATTTACACTGGAACAATCCATTCTATAAGTTTTAAAATCATAAATATATGTCAACATCAAAAAGCATATAACAAATGGGTTAACAGAGTAAAGTACAGCTGAGAAGCCATCATTTTTTGCACCATACTAAATCACACCAACATGTTAATCCATTGTAGTGTTTAATTCTAAATGTACAGTACATGGAAGCAAAACGTATTTCTTCATTCTAGATGCAGGCTCTACTTCATGTTCAGCAGTACCACATTGTAAATATGCTTTACTTGTAACAGCCTAAAGAAGAAGGGCCAAAGCTCCTTTTGGTGCGGCTTCTCCTGGGGATCACAGGAGTGCACCTCATTCTGCACTCATGTGACCCATATTCAGCCAGTCCAGGCCCTGAAGAGATCCCAACTTTAATGTTGGGAGCCAACCAGATGCTTGGACCAGCAGCTGGCTCAGCTTCTGAGATCCTGAGCCAGCTGCTCCCACTCCCTCCATAGCCAAGCGCTCAAGTGAGCTCTGGAGGGGCAGAGCAGAGAGCAGGCGACTAACAGTTTTCGGTGTAGAGGCAGTGGGAGCCTAATGCATCAGAATGATGCTCCATCCACAAGAGTATAAATGTTTGGGGTTTTTTTTTTATTCTGAATGTCACTAAATGCAAGACAGAGCTTTGATCTCAACTGATCCAAAAGACATAAATCAGTACCATTCATAAAAAGAGGTGTTTGTGAAACTTTTTAGAATTTCGACGTGACGCTACACAAGTGTCAGTGTGAAAGTCAGATTCATGGCTGTGAGAAGGAGTCCCGATGTTCACCCTCCTATCCCTCACCTTTCTCCCATTAACAAAAACTCCTTGTATTGTTACTGCAGACATTAACACGTTCTGGGAATGGAGGAGAGGCAGATAAATGAGAGTTCCCTCCCCCATTAGCAGAACAAGTTGCATTTTGGGAAAACAATGTAAGGAGTTTTGTTAACAAAGGAGGGAAATTCACAAGTGTGAGAGGGGAATCTGGCACCAGTAAAAGGGAAGAGTTTAACAGTAGGCATTACAGGCAAGTGTGACTGAAACTGTACAAAAAAAATAAATAAATAACTTTGGCTTTAGGGGAATCTGTCACAAAGCAAAAAACACATGTGACAAAAGTCTAATGTTACCACAGGAGTTTCAAGAAGCCAAGGCGATTTAGCATTCAGTCAATGGGGACTATTAGGAGCAACATGAGGTTTAAAATGGTTGTTTGTATCACAATCTTAGTAAATTTGTGCTGTAAATTCTAAAGCCTTAAACAAAAACATTAAGCCACAGGCAAAACGATCCTCATGAGTCAACATTTACTACATCAGACATGAGCTGGCACACTTACCTGGTTCTACCACATTCACAGGCCTTTGTCACATAGGCAGGACAGGAGGGGCAAGGTCCTGGGTGACAGAGGCTGAAAAAAAAAAAAAAATAGCAAATACAAACGTTTAATGATTAAAAATAGTTACACAATAGATAGCCATTTGTATGATCAGTGCCTCAAGTGAAATTCAGCTAAACTTCCCCATATTAACAGGAACCTGTTGGAACATAAACCTGTGAACTGTCACTGCAGTTGTCATTTGCTTTTTGAAGGTGCAAAATTTCACACCGACACCCATAAGCATACTCCACTAGTCTACAATGATAGTGAATCAATGGCATTCGCTATGCGCATTCTTCCAGGTTAGTAAACCACTACATCTTGAATGAAGGAGAAGGATGACAGCACCAGAGCTCACACCTTCAAAAACAAGCTTGCTGTATGCAACTTTGACCAATCACCATCTGAACAGAGGGTGCATCAAATACATTCGTTTATAAAAGTCCAGCTTGTAAATCTACTATGTTGTTCATGTTGGCTGAACACACACAAATCAGCAGTATTATTCTACAACAGTCTAGATATATATTCTCGGAGTCAAATTTTAACTTAGCAAAGCAGGTTTATTTCTCAAAGCAATCACTGTAATTCTTTAAGCCGTGCTCACAGAGGGGCATTTTATTCCACGCCCCAATTGAGAGCTATGGGACTGCCGGCACGGTGATGCACCCAACACCTGTACTTCCCTTTGCCAGTATTATTATTATTATACAGTATTTATAAAGCGCCAATAGTTCGCTCAGCGCTGTACATTACAAAGGGGGACAGAACATGTGACAGAACAATACCAATACAATGCAAAACATGAGGGGATCGAGGGCCCTGCTCTTTCGAGCTTACAATCAGTCTAGCCAGTAAACATAGTCCTGCATGGGGCATGGAATAAAATATCTTGTGTGAATGAGGAGACCTTAAAACTGGAACTTTACTCAAAAGTGCCACTATTCCACCTCTCCACCCTGCCCCCTAACACTTAGATTTTTTTCTTACAGCTGCAGGAAGATAGTGCTGGACTATGGGCACTCGTAAGTACCAGATTTTTGCACGTGAGAACAATGCTAGTGACTGTGGAGCAGTATGTTAGACCAGTCCTTATTACAGCAGATCTGGTCCACCCGAAAGTGACCACAGGGAGTGCCGCCCAGCAACTGGAGAACGTCAGAGTACCTAGTCCTCCTGTGCAAATTTTTTGCTACCAAGATCACCGGAATACCCTCCATCTCAATCCTGCGAAGAATTCAAGAAAGAGTTGGAAGGGAGAGAAAATGTATATCAGACAGAAGAAGTGATCCCTTGGAATCAACAGTGTGTCCACTGCAAAGGCCTTTGGATTCCTGATCCTGGCCACAAACCTGTCCATCCTTTTGTTGAAGAAGGATGCCAACAGATCTACATCTGGAATTCCCACCACATCTAGGCGCTAACGGAAAAAGTCCACCTGCCAACTGTCTACTCCAGGAATGCAGACGGCCTACAAGGCTGCTTACTGCAAAGAGGGACAATCTTCAAGTGGTGCAGGAGTTAATAGTGACAGCCAAGAGGACCGCTCACCTGCCCCATCTGTCAATCACAGAATTCATTCTATTATTGTCCCACAATATAACACAAATGGAGGAGAAGCAGAAGAAATTACAGTATCCCCCTAGCCCAGTCACAAAATGTTGCATTGTGTGACAATAAAATGTAGATTGCCAAAAATTAAAGGTAACTAATATGTTTGGTGCTGTATTCACCTTCCCCCCCCCCCCCCGAAAAAAAAAAAAAAAATTTAAATCAGCAAAAATTCAACAATAGCTATGCTTTCAAACTGTATATTTAAAATTATAACCTGAATGTTTTAACATCTTTTTCACAAAAAACGTATTTTGCCTAGTAATGGCCAGATTTTTGCATGTAACAAATACAGACGTAGACAGAAACACATGAAGATAACACTTGAAAATACGCACACAGTGGTAAGATAAACATTCTTACACGCATAAACATACTTCCTCAAGACGATAACTTGAAATTTGTATGATTGAGATAGATATATATATATATATATATATATATATATATATATATATCTCTCTCTCTATCTATTTTAGGTCCATATATATTTGGACACAGGCACAATTTTAGTTTTTTTCAGGTATTTACCAAATTATATTCAAGCTATAGTTATATAATGGATATGGGCTGAAAGTGCACACTCTCAGGTTTACTTTGTGGGTCTGTACATCCAAATTGGAGGAAGGGTTTAGGAATTACAGCTCTTAAGAGTAACCATCCCCCCTTTTTCAATGTATGTATGTATGTATGTATGTATGTATGTATGTATGTATGTATGTATGTATGTATGTATGTATGATATATATCTCTATCTTAAAAAAAAAAAAAAAAAAAAAAAAAAAACACAAGGTCTTACATGTTGCAGGTGTGAGGGGGGCAATCAAGGCCGGAGCGCTTCTTTCCACAGAGCTCCCCACAGCTATGGGGAATTTCATTTCTGTTCCACTCTGGGTAATTTACTTTTCCTGAAGCAGACAGAATGGTTTGTGATACAAGTAAACAAAATTACAACATACTCAATCAGGAGATGAAGTCACACTTACCACAAAAGCAGGTATAAGTACTTGGAGCCCGAGAGGAGACATTTTGACAAGCGGGGCACCTCCAGCCACTATTCCCATCTGTAGTGCCAAAAAAAAAAAAAAAAAAAATAGAAAAATTATTGTTGAGGCTTGTGTACAGGTAATGGCATCTGAATTTCTTTTCTACCCTATAAAAAGGAATGCAAAAGAATCTCCCAGCAACTCAGAAGAAAGTCAAAGCAACAAAAGAGCATAAAGTATCTGTCTTTCTTTAGAGTCTGCTGCCACTATACAGGTGTATCTCAATAAATTAGTATATCATCAAAAAGTTTATTTCAGTCATTCAATTCAAAAAGTGAAACTCATATTATAAAGATGCATTAAACAGAGAGAGAGATATACTTCAAGCCTTCCCTTTTTTTTTGATGATTACGACTTACAGCTAGTGAAAACTCAAAATTCAGCAACTCAGAAAACTAGAATATTACATAAGACCAAGACCAAAAAAAAAAAAAAAAAAAAAAAGAAGATTTTTAATACAGAAAATGTTGGCTTACTGAAGAGTATGTCCATGTATAGTATGCACTCAATACTTGGTCGGGGCTCCTTTTGCATGAATTACTGCATCAATGCGGCGTGGCATGGAGGTGATCAGCCTGTGGCTCTGCTAAGGTGTTATGGAAACCCAAGTTGCTTTGACAGCAGCTTCCAGCTCGTCTGCATTGTTGAGTCTGGTGTCTCATTTTCCTCTTGACAATACCCTATAAATTCTCTATGGGGTGTAGGTCAGGCGAATTTGCTGGCCAATCATGCACAGTGATACCATGATCATTAAACCAGCTATTTGGTACATTTGGCAGTGTGGGCAGGTGCCAAGTCCTGCTGGAAAATGAATTCAGCATCTCCATAATGTTGGTCAGCAGAGGGAAGCATGAAGTGCTCCAGAATTTCCTGGTAGAGGGCTGCGCTGACTTGGGACTTGATAAAACACAGTGGACCAAATACCAGCAGATGACATGGCTCCCCAAATCATCACCGATTGTGGAAACTTCACTCTGGGACTCAGGCAACTTGGATTCTGTGTCTCTCCACTCTTCCTCCAGACTCTGGGACCTTGATTTCCAAATGAAATGCAAAATTTACTTTCATCTGAAAAAATGCACTTTGGACCACTGAGCAACAGTCCAGTCCTTTTTCTCCTTAGCCCAGGTAAGAAGTTTCTGACGTTGTATCTGGTTCAGGAGTGGCTTGATACAAGGAATGCGACATTTGTAGCCCATGTCCTGGATACGTCTGTGTGTGGTGGCCTTGTGAATCTCCCCCAAATTCTTGAACGGCCTTTACTTCACAATCCAAGACTACGATTATCCCTATTGCTTGTGCACCTTTTTTTTTTTTTTTTTTTTTTTTTAACCACACGTTTTCTTTCCACTCAACTTTCCAATAATATTCTTGGATACGACACTCTGAACAGCCAGCTTCTTTAGCAATGACCTTTTGTGACTTACCCTGCTTGTGGAAGGTGTCAATGACTGTCTACTAGACAGCAGCCTTCTCCGTGATTGTGTAACCTATTGAACCTGACAGAGACCATTTAAAGGCTCAGGAAACTTTCACAGGTGCATTGAGTTAATTAGCTGATTAGAGTGTGACACCATGGGGGTCATTTACTAAAGCTGGTTCACTCAGAACCTCATGCAGTTTTTTAATAGAAACCAATCAGCTTACAGGTTTTATTGCCAAGCCCTAATTGACCAAGGTGAGGTTAGAAGCCAATTGGCTACCATGCACAGCTGCACTAGATTCTAAACGAACCAGATTTATCAAATCAACCCCCATGAGTCTACAATATTGAACTTTTTTACAATATTCACATTTTCTAAGATACAGGATTTGGGTTTTCACTAGCTGTAAACCATAATCATCAAAATTAAAAGAAATGCTTGAAATATATCACTCTGTGTGCAATCAATCTATATAATAGTTTCACTTTTTGAATTGAATTACTGAAATAAATTAACTTTTTAAAAGATATTCTAATTTATTGAGATGCACATTCACTCTTCAATCGGCTACAGCAACATATAACATACCAGAGGAACTTTAAAAATAAATTGTTACAGATGTTTAGTTTTGACAGCCTCCTCAATGTAACTATATGTCATTATTATGTTTGTAACCATGCAGATCTCACCATCGATGTGCTCTCTCTCTCTTCTGTGATGATGTTTTTATATATATCTATCTTTGTGAAAATTAATAAAAATTGCTAATATAAAAATAAATTGTAAAAAACTATCTAATTATAATTAAAAAAAAACATACATGTAGTATTTATGCAAGAACAACAAAAAGTAATACATAATGAGGGTAGAACAAATACATAAATGGAATTTAGGAGCCAGTCTGTCCAATCCAGAAGCCACAGCAGGATTTTGTACATTTCTTTTTTGGAGCCAGCTCCATTAACAACTAGAGAAAACTTTAGAAGTTAGGCACCAACTAAAGTTTTCAAGGAGTATTGGTTACCTAGCTCCTGGGATTTGTCCAGCTTTGATATAAATCAATTTTTAAAAAGAAGAAGTACAGCCAAAAGCTCTTTAGGCTGTACTTCTCCTGTGGATTACAGGAGTGTAGTTTGTTCTGCACTCCTGTGACCAGTTTTCAGCCCGCTGTCAGCTGGTCCAGACTGGGGTAAGATCCTGACCTTAAAGTCAGGATCCACCCAGATGTCTAGTCTGGAACCTGGCTCAGCCCCTCAGCGAGTCACTGAGAGAGCCTGAGCCAGCAGCTGCTCACAGTGGCGGTGAGAACTCAGGGATTAGCAGTCATGTCATCGCCGAGTTCGCATCCTTAAAGCCAGCGGGGGACAGATGCAGCATCGGAATGCTGCCTTGTACCATGTGACCTCTGTGATCATTCACAGATTTCACACGTAGTAAGAAATGATGTCAGAAGTGACATCTTGCTTACTACTCAACATGTGATCACTGATTGGCCCCAGAGGTACTATACAACGATTGGTGTTCCACTGTGTCCGGAGGACACAGCGGGCACCACATCGCGGTGCTGCACGCTCCCAGGGATTGTGCACAAGCAGGGGGCAGGGAGGCCGTTTATAAATGGCCACCCACCCCTGCACTGCTCCCGTCCGGCCGTTTATGTACATGGGCCGGACGGGAAAGCAAATGGCTGTATTTATACACATACTGGGATAGCAAGACTGCAGTGGGCATTCTGACACTGGAGGAGAACTAACTGCCCCTGACATCCCAATGATGCTAATACAGTGATCAGTGCTAATAAAAAAGCACAGACACTGTACTAATGACACTGGGCAGGAAGGGGTTAACATCTGGGGCAATCAAAGGGTTAACTCTGTGCCGTTTTACTGTGTGTGCACTTTACTAGAGAAACATGCTGCTGTGTATTTCTCTGCTGTGCAGAGAAATATACAGCAGCATGTTACTGCTGGCAGGAGAGAGACCGGTGTTGTTTACACACACACACACACACAGCTCTCTCTCTTGTCAGTGATACTCGGCGATCGCCGGGTGCCAGCGGGGAATCTCTGGCTGGGACCTGGTGATCGACATCTGTAGCCACCAATGGCAGCACAGATAAGGCAGCATGCACCCCTACCCAGAAATGCAAAATCACGTATACATAAACGTGATTTTGAGCAGCCCTGCTGCAGTAGTTCTGCTATAGGGCGGGTATCAGTAGGAGAAATGGTGCCCCATTGTTGGTGTCAGTGGGAGAAAAAGTGTCCTGTCTTTGATATCAGTGGAAAGAATATTGCCTCATCATTGATGTCAGTGGGGAATAGTGGGTATCAGTGAATAGTGCCCCATCATTGGTATCAGTGAAATGAATAGTGCCCCATCATTGGTATCAGTGAGAGGAATAGTGCCCCATCATTGGTGCCATGAGAGAAATCGTGTCCCATAATTGGTGTCAGTGGGAGAAATAGTTCCCCATCTCAGGTATCAGTGGGAGGAATTGTACCCCATTGTTGGTGTCAGTTGGAGAAATAGTTCCCCTGTCTTTAGTGTCAGTGGATGAAATAGTGTCAAAAGGACCAGATAAAGGCAAACAAAAAAAAAAAAAGGACCATTTTTTTGCACACGTATAAAAAAAAAAAAAAAATCTTTTTAGGCTGGACAATTAAGTAAAACCCCAAACATTATAAACTTTCTGAAAGCAGAGATCTCGGAGAATAAAACAGTGGTAGTTCCAATTTTTTATGTCACAATATTTGTGCAATGGTTTATCAAGAACAAAATTTAAGTTAATTTTAGACTGATACTCTAGATCAGTGGTCTCCAAACTGCGGCCCTTTGCTTGCTTTTATCTGGCCTCTGGGGCACCATTTAATCCACTGACACCAACGAAATTTCTCCCAATGATGGGGCACAATTACCACCAATGATGGGGCACAGTTCATCCCAATGATACCAAGATTGGGGCCCAATGACACCAACGATTGGGCACAAATTTCTCCCAATGACACCATCGATGGGGCACAATTCCTCATACTAACACCAAAGATGGAGCATTGGTTACACCCACTGATGCCGGGTCATTTTCCCGGCCAGCCCCCCTAAAGTCTGTTGGACATTAAACTGTCCCTTTACTTAGAAAGTTTAGAGACCATTGCTCTAGATGCATAGCAGAGTGCACTCTATTGCTTGGATTGGAAGCAACAGTGTGCATATTAGAGTTCAAAGTTATCATGAACCTGGTCAAATACAGTGTCTACTGAAGCAGCCTGTAAAAGGTTCTGAATCGGAATCAGAGAACGATATGGGCCTCAGAAACTCTGAGAAATAAGGTCCCAGTAGAGCTAAGTTCACGCAGATGGAGAGGAATGTCTTCAAGCAAGAGTGTTCCAATAAGACGGACACTAAGTTAGAAGTGAACATAAGAGGCCTGATAGACAAAGCAGGTCACAGATAAAAGGGAGCAGAGCTATATAGAAGCTAATGAGGACAATCCTATGGAAATGGGGGGTCTCAGGGTCCAAAATACAGACATTGGTCCCCTCTGACGAGAACGGTGAATCAATTCCCCAAACGGAATGTATCGATGTCACCGGT